CCCCCCCCCCCCCCCCCCCAAACACACACACGCCAAGCCCATGCCCCTACGGCCCTGCCCCACCCAGGCTTCTACTTGAGCTCTCTGGCTCAGGCCCCACCCCTGCCCTCATGGCCCCGCCCAGACCCACCCAGCCGGCTGTGCACCTGTGTGTAGTGGCCACACATCTGTCCAGATTGGCAGGCACCTGTGGTGAAGTTATAGTAATCGCTCTCCCGGTGCCACTCTGCCACAGCCATCTGCACGTCCATGCTATCGCCCGTGATGGCGAACAGGTTCTCGCCGCGCCACCCGCGATTTGGGTTGTGGGCCCACACACAATGCTCTGCATAGGCTTTGGCGAACACCGCCAGGTCTTCATCCCACATCTACAGGATACACGTTGAGAAGGAGAGAGAAGTAGAGAGAGGTGGGAAACAATGATGAGGGTACCCACAGATTCTAGGGGCATCAAAGCACAACACTGAGGGCCCTTTGGGGCCTCTGGAACCTGGAGGAAGCCCTGATGGCACAGTGGGATAAGTGTTGGGCTGCTAAACACAAAGTCAGTGGTTCAAACCCACCATCTACTCCGTAAAGATGCTCAGTCTTGGAAACCCTAAGGAGCAGTTTATGTACTGAGTCAGAATCGACTCGCTGGCAGTGTTTTGGGGAAGCTGGAGATATCTCACCCTCCACCTCCAGCTGGGTGATTGTTGGTCATGACCTAAGCAGGTGGGTTTCATTGGAGAGGTGAGAGGGTGCCACCCCCATGAGTGGAGTGAACCTAACTTGGAACCATTCATCAGTGGTGTGATTTGGGGCAGATTGCCTAACTTTTCTGGACTCTAGTGGGGTGGGAAAATTAAATGAGATGATGTTTGACAGAGTTACTATATTCATTATAATTTAATAGTTATTAAAGTTATTATATATAATTCAATTTAGACAGTGATGCCTCTACCTACCCCCAGGGACACCTCTTAGGGGCTGCCTGAGTGGGCTCTGAAAACCACAAGATGTTCAATGAGATATTCAAAGGATGGGTTGTTTATTTGGCTGTTTCTGCTCTCATCTATCTGACTTGAGGAGCCAACACCCTTACCTAGTCCCTCTACCCCTTGGTACAACCCAGCCTTCTTGCCTTTACCTGCTTCAGCGTGTCCCTCTCAAGTGTCATTCCTACATAACTCCAACTCTTGACAACCAACAATCCCCTTCTTCAAGAATAGTGAATATCTCTGTATGACACTCATTGAGGGACCTATTTTTGGAGCCTTGGTCACCCAAATAGCTGTAGTGGGGACCTCAGAGATGATGATGATGTTGTTAAGTGCTGTCGAATCATTTCCGACCCATAGTGACCCTGTACAGGGTATTCAAGGAATGACTGGTAACCTTGAACCACTGACTTTGTGGTTCAAACCGACTTTGCAGTCCAGCACATTAACCCACAGCGCTACACCAGGACTCCAGAGATGATGATGGGGTGTATTCTAGGTTAGAGGGCCTCTGAGGTTCTGTGTCTCCATCTGGGAGAACAGGCTGGAGTGTGGGTGGGAGGCAGGGATTACCAAATCATCATACCCAAAGGACTGATGCGGCAGGCCTGGATCCTATTAAACCTTGTCCTTGGCCTCTCCTGGAAATGGATGGCCCAGCGACAACTCTCACTCCACCCTCTGGGGGCCAAGCCTGTTGCAAGAGCCAGATGGCCCATAAAGTGCCAAGAGTTTGGGTGACCTTGAGGAGGAGGGGTGTGTGTGGCCACACCCACTCCCCACTAACTCAAGGCTCTCAGGAACAGCGGCCTGGGGCCGGGGTGGGAGCACTTTGCTAGGATCAGCCCCACTGATATGACCTCAGGTGAGCCCCTTCCCTCTCTGGATGTTTTTGTCCCCAATCATTGGCCCTTGAGAATCCCTCAAACTCTGGGAGATTGGGAGTGAGGAAGGAGCAAGGTGCTGGGGACCAGGTCAGGGTTTCTAGGAGGACTTGCAAGCCTTCAGGTTAGGGGCAGGGATGTATTCCCATGGGCTGGCACAGTGGAGCACACAGTAGGTATTCACCACATATTTGCCAACTATGGCTGGCTGAGACACCTAAAGCAGTGTTCCTTACAGAACACAGCTGTCATTTCCTTCTGACTAGATGCCTCAAGTCCCACCATCAGTCATCCCTCCAGTGTTAAGGATTAGCAGAGCCCCTGTGCAATAGTCATTGCACCTACCCGCATTCACTGCATGCTCACAGTCTCAAAACAAGTCCATTCATTCCTTCAACAGTCCTGGGCATTAATTATGTCAGCCCTAGGGTGGCAGCAAAAATGAAGAAGCCCAAGTTTACATTGCCATAGGTATTTGGGCCACCATGTGGAAACTGTACCAATAAATATGCAAAGGGGATCATGGTTGTTGTTAGGTGCCATTGAGTCGGTTCTGATGCCTAGTGACCCAACAGAATGTAACATTACCCAGTTAGTTCTGCGCTATCCTCATAATTGTTATGTTGCTGCCACCATGTCAGTTCATCTCATTGAGGGTCTTCCTCTTATTTGCTGACCCTCCACTTTACCAGGGACTGGTCCCTTCTGACAACATGTCTGAAGTATGAGAGATGCAGTCTCACCATCTTCACGTCTAAGAACATTCTGTCTGTACTGTCTTCCAATACAGGTTAATTTGTTCCTCTAGCTGTCCGTAGTACTTTCAATATTCTTCTCCAATACCATAATTCAAGTGCATTGAGTCTTCTTGGGGCTTCCTTATTCACTGTCCAACTTTCACATGCATATGAGGCTATTGAAAATATCATGACTTGGGTCAATGCACCTTAATCCTCAAACTGACATCTTGGCTCCTGAACACTTTCAAGAAGTCTTGTGCAGCAGATTTGTCTAATGCAATATGCCATTTGACTTCTTTTGTTTTCACTCTTAAAATCTTTAATAATATCCTCATTTAAAAGCACAGTGTCATTACAAAACTGCCATTGTATTAACAAGATATTACCGTGTTTTCATTCTTTTGAAGTTTGCAGAGCTTACTCATAAAGATGGACAGCTCTCCCCCACTCTCTACAAGGCATTCACTATTGCATTCTGTACTCATTCATTCAACAAGTATTTACTGAACAATACCTAATAGCTATTTGAGTTTTCAGAAGGTAAAGCTAATTTTGAAAACCAGAATGCTTAAATATTATAATTCTAAGTACATAAGTTACAGAAGGAAAACCTTTACCCATAATGCACACTTCCATTGGTATTTAGCATTATGGGATTAGAATATTCCAATGAACTTTTTTCAGGTCCAAGAGTAGGTTCTGAAGAGAATCACCACCCACAAATGAGCTCATTACTGATAAGAACATAATGTCCTGAAAGTACATATAAACGGGTCTGACTTGTGACTCTAAGAATGAAGCTGTTTTAAAGATGAGATATATTTTTAAAAACAACTTTAACACTCAGCAAATCAAATATTACCTAAACACGTATTTTCTACATAATCATTGTGAAATACGGCTGTCAGTATCAAAAGATTTTCTTCACTTGCTCCTATTCATGTCTTCATAACCACCTCTTCATTTCTCCTTTCAAAATGTTGTATACCACACTTGAGGTGATGACGCATTCTAAAATACCTATGGTAAACAACTTGAACATTCACCACCAGCTACCTATAGGATGTAATTTTTGGCTCTACTTGTAAGATGCATTTGTTGTTCTAGTGGTTTTTTCATAGCCACCCTTATACAACTTTTGGAAAACATGTATCATGACGACCTTTATACATCTTCACAACTCAACCTGTGTTGCATCTTGAAGAGCCCTGCTACGGAGCCCGAGAGCTCTTCTGCGCATGCCGTACCCTTCTCGTGCCCTAACAACGCTGAAAAGCTCATTTGATTTCTTCACTGCTGCTTCCATGAGCACTGATTACAGAGCCATGCAAATTGAAGCCTTGGACAACTTCAGTCTTTTCTCCATTTACCGTGATGTTATTTATTAGTCCAGTTGTGAGGTGCAATCCATATTGTAGGCTATAGTCTTGGATTTTCACATCAGTAAGTATTTCAGGTCCTGTTGGCTTTCAGCAAGCAATGTGGTGTCATCTGCACATTTCAGGTTATTGATGACGCTCCAATCTTGATGCCACATTCTTCATATGATCCGGTTTCTCAGATTATGTGCTCAGCACACAGATTGAAAAAGTATAGTGAAAGGATACAACCCTAGCCCACACCTTCCCTGATTTTAAATCATTCAGTATCCCTTTGTTCTGTTCACAGGGCTGCCTCTTGGTCTATGTACCGGTTTCTCATGAGTATAATTAAGTGTTCTGGAACACCCACTCATTGCAATGTTATCCATCGCTTGTCATGGTCCACACAGTTGAAAGCATTTGCATCCTCTTGAAATGGTTGAACGTTGGCTAACTCTTTTTGTACAGAAGCTCTATATGTTCTTTCTGTCTTCTTTTGATGCTTCCTGTGTCATTCAATATTTTGCTCATGGACTCCTTCAATATTGTAAGGCAAGGCTTAAAGTTTTTCTTCAGCTCTCTCAGCTGGAGAAACGCTGAATGTGTTCTTTTCTTTGGGTTTTCTAACTCCAGGTCTTTGTACATTTCATTGTAATACTGAACACTGCCTTTTCAAGCTGCTCATACAGTCACCAAGAAGGGCCATTTAGCCTAACTTTGGGATGGGAAAGGAGACCCTAATCTACATCTTAAAAGATGAAGTGTTAGCCAGGTGGAGCAGGGGGGAGACAGAAAATGCTATAAAAGCCAAGGCATGGAGGTGAGAAACAACACTTGGTTGTGGAAAAGACAGCTGTCTTACTGAAGGAAAAGGTGAGCAAGAAAGGAAGTTGGAGAAGGGGGCAGGGGCCAGAGCTCACAGAGCCTTCTCAGCTAGGGACTGGAGCTTTATCCAGAAATGGACGGAGTCAGTGGGAGTCACTGAAGGGTTGTGAGCAGGATCAAGCCCATGTGTTGGAGCAGTCATTCGAGCATCAGAGGCCAGAGGCTGGGGAGCACGTATGGGCTATCTTAGAAGTTTCTGGGGGCAAAAATGAAAGTCTGAAAGGATAGGTGAGAGGGAGAGCTTAAGGAAATCAGCCTTCTTGGGGGTCAAACTGGTGACGATTACATACAGAGGCTGAGAGACAGGGAAGAGTCAGTGACGACCCCCAGCTGCCTCACCCTTGCATCCATTCCCTCTTTAGTTAATCAAGCACCTATTGAACATTTACTGTGTGGCAGGCACTGTTCTAAGGGCTTTATACATTTTCATTCATTTAATTATCATTCTCATTTTACAGATGAGGAATCTGAGGCACAGAGAGGTTAAGTAACTTGGCCAAAGTCACTTAGGTAAGTGGCAAAACTAAGATTTAAACCCATACCATCTGACTAAAGTGTCTCACTGCACCTCTGAGTCCTGCCTCCAAAGTATTCTGTGGCTGGTGACCCAGCCCAGCCTTACCTTCACGCTCTCCTCAGATCACCTTCCACCGGGCAGCAACCTCACTGTCTGAACTGCTTCTCAGAACAGTGCTCCATCCTCCAGGTCCACTTCTGCTCACAGGCAGACTTCAACCCAGAACCCAGCCTACATAGCCTCCAGCCTCAGCCAGAAAGACATAAGGGCCTCGGGGATCATACAATGGGGAAACTGAGGTCCAGCAATGAGTCCCAGGCCTTACAAGGGCCTCCTGATTTTTTGTCTGCAATTCCTGGTTGCCAAGGACATGAGAGCTGTGAATGGTGATGCTGTGTGCATCCAGCTCTAAGTTACAGATCAAGAAACAAAGGTCCTTGAGGGTAAAAGAGCTAACCCAGAGTCACTTAGATTGACAGAGCTGAGGTTGCACTGTGGATCTCGGGCCCCCCGGCTTACTGCCATGTTCTCCAGGTAAGAACTTGGTCTCGGGCATCAGTTACAGGGTTTCTCATGCTGCCCACCAATCTCCCAGGCCACTTGAGATGGCTGGAAGGGGTGGGTCAGTCTACCCCTCAGAGAAGGGAGAAAAAGGGTGAGGCCTAATCCTGAATATAAACAGCTGTAGACCCATCACCCACTTTAAGTGCAGTTGAGTGGGAGCTCTGTCGTATAGAGTCACTATGAGTTAAACCAATGGAATTTTTTGGTTTGTTTTTTGGTGCAATTGAATCTCACCTTTTGCCCCTGCCATTAAATACCTCTCCCCCTGACACACAAGTAATCAACCACTGGCTGGAATCTGGTTTCAGTCACCTGTACATTTACATTTGCAGGTGTCTCTTCCCAGCATACAAATAGTCCTTTTTGCATGTTCTACAACTGCATGTAAATATCCCCAACTATGAATACTTTTTGAGATTGTAACATTCAGTCCATCCATATTGATACCCACACATAAACCCCATAGTTTCCATGAGTGGATTCTGTCTTCTGGTAAAACCATGTATGTCACAGTAGAACTTGGGTCCATGGGATTTTCACTGGCTGAGTTTTTGGAAGTAGATGACCAAGACTTTCTTCTGAGGCATATCTGGGTTGGCTTGGACCTCCGATCTTTTAGTTAGCAGCTGTGCTCATCTGACATTTGGACCACCTCAGAGCTCCATGTTGATACTCATGCAATTAGCTCTAATTCCTACTCCCATTTTACAGATAAGAAACTGAGGGTCAAACAGATGAAGGGACAGAATGTGAGCTCTGTGACCCAGTGTCCTCTCTGCTTTATTTCCATTCTCATCTGCCTCCTTAGTACCTCCCACCTGCCCCAGATGCCCAAACGCATCCATTGCCATTTGCCATCCCAGGGGCACATGCATTTTAGAAGTGCTGGGGAGGGAGTGGGTCATTGGAGTAGGAAGCTGGGGTTTCCGGGCCTGGCTTTACCCACTGTGTGGTCCCTTTGAGCTTCATTTTTCTCATCTGTATGGAGCTACTTGCAGAGAACTGTGAATTAGGCAATGTCAGGGACTCTGTCACTGACTAGAGGAATGAGACTCTCAAAGAGTTTTTTCAGCACAGGGCATAGGGTGGTAGGAAAAGTGGGGAGGCCCTGCCCAGCACCCCTCCAATTTCAGCTGCACTCACCATCTTTAGCATGTTGGCGGCCGGCGGGTTCGTCTGGGCACGATATGAGTTGTGTGCATCCACTATCAAACGTTTGTCTTCTTCCGTGAGGGCTCCAGCGGGGTCTGTGGTGGCTAGCAGGAGCAGCAGCAGCTGCGGGGGCAGCAGAAGACTGTGGGAGCTGTGCATGGTGGCCAGTCCTCCCTGCCTCTCCCTTCCAGGGGTCTGGCAGCTGGGTTTAAAGGCCTTTCTGTACAAGCACCACCCTGGCTCGGGTGGGGCGGGAGGGGCTGTGTTTAGAGGCCTGGTCTGGCTCACTCAGTGTCTTGGAGAGGGCTGGGTGTCTTGGGTCCTGACCAGAGTGGAATCCACTCCCAGCATTCATCTCCCCTTGAACAGTCCTTGGCACGAGTCGATGTTCTCTCGGTAGCGAGGACTTAGGCGAAGTGCTATGTGAATGCCACAATCCCTTCTGAGTTGCAGAGTGGTCCTTGAGGGGCAAAACCACAGGTCATATCCTCTGCAGAACGGTGGCTGATTGCACACAGACCACACTACCTGGTTGCTAGGACAGATAAAGGAAACTACATGGATCCTGCCACCGGAGGACTGGGCAGGAGGAGGGAGGAAGACAAGATGTACATGGCAAAAGGTTGGGCCCAGCCTAAGTCTGGATCCTGGTTCTGCCTCTTGCTAATTGTGATTCTAGCAGTTTTCTCAAATTCGCATCAGTAACAGTGCTCGAAGCGACCTCACAGGGCTGTGTTGCTGTTAGTTGTTATTGAGTTGAAGCTGACTCATGGTAACCCAAGTGTGCAGAGTAGGCTGGGACCTTTTGGAAGCAGATCTCCAGCCCTGTCTTTGGAGGCACATCTGGGTAGATTTGAACTGTCAACCTTTCAGCTAGCTGTTTGCAGTACCGTGGAAGCAAAGGCCAGCCTCGGTTTCCATTCAGAGTCTCGCAAACCCGACAAGGTAGTTCTGATCTGCAGCACGTGGGGTTGCTGTGAGTTGGAATCAACTTGACCCAACTACAAAGTGTGTAAAGACCTAGTGTGGTTCCTAGCACAGTATAGACAACAGCCACCTATGTGCCCATGCTGGGTCCCGGCCTGGTGGGGTGGTAGGGCCCCTGCTTATGGGAAGGGAGGCCAAGCTGTTTCCACTCCAGCTGCATCCTGAAATGAACTAGATCTTCAGCTTCTGTGTACCTTCTGTGAATACATGTGTTTGACGTGCTTGTTTAGAAAGGAATGCAATACCCTTTCCCGATCTGAATATGTAGAAAATATCATCTAAATAGCATATAATGTGTCTATTCACTGAAATCAAGATGGAACAGGGAGGGTAGGTGAGCTGATTCAGCAGGGGCCCTAGTGGCTTGGTTTTGGAAAGTAAAGAGGCTATGGGCCATGGACATTACAATGACCATGCAGGCAGCAACAGAGGCAGGAAAAACTCTGTAGTTCAGCTAAGATCCTTGAAGCCTGCACCCTCAGAGAACAAGACTTAGAAAAATCCACCTACTAACCTTGAAAGACGGCAAGAAAACCTGCCCCATGCCCGGATCTCCAGGTGAAAACAAAGCAACTTAAGAATTTTTAGATTGGTCCAGACTGGAGAATCTCAGCAGGACAAAAGCAAAATCCTGTCTGAAGAGAGTTTTTCTTAACACAGGCCACTTGGGCCATCTATGAGAAAAATGCCTCTAACTTTTAGCTCACTGTTAGAAAATTCACCTGAGGAATTGAGTCACCATGAGCAAGAGACATCACACACCAGAAACCGGAGGGTTTATTATTCTCAAACTTGAGATAGTAGAACAATCAGGCAAAGACTTTCAAATAACTTTGTTTAAAATAATTAGGAAAAGCTGGAAAAATGATTAAGGAAATAAATAGGTCGCTGAAAAATCAGAAGAAAGAACTGAAGGCTAGCACTGAGCAGGGTGTTGAAGAGGGTCACTCTGTTGGAGAAGGAGAAGCTATTTATAGAAAAATCAGAGAGGTGAAGAGAGACCAGATTAGACCCCCAGCCCAGACCACTGTCCAAGATGCTGAGCAAATGAAGCTGACAATATAGGCTGAAAACTGAAATCGGGAGACTTCCCCGGGAGATGCCGGCCTCAGGAGTGAAGTGAGTGGAAGGAATAGTTCTCAGACAGCTCCTGGACATAACCAGGCACTGGCACTGCTGGCTGCCCTGATGTGGTCACCTCAGTGACCTCCAATTACACCCCTCTATGTGGGACTGCGGAGTCCTGGTGTGGCGTTGTGTGCTAATGCATCAGACTGCAAAGTCATTTGAACTGCAAGGTTGGTGGTTCAAGCTCACCAGCTGCTCCTTGGAAACCCTATACAGGGTCGCTATGGGTCAGAATCAACTCGATGGCACTTAACAACAACAACAATGTGGCACTGCGGGTTAATGCTGTGGATCACAAGGTAGGTTTGAACCGCAAGCTCGGCAATTCAAGCTCACTAGCTGTTCCTCAGAAACCCTATGTTGTTGTTGTTATGTGCCATTGAGTTGGTTCTGACCCCTAGTAACCCTGTGTAGGAGTTCCAAGGAGCAGCTGGTGAGCTTGAACCATCGACCTTGCAGTTCAAATAGCTTTGCAGTCCAGTGCATTAGCCCAACATTACTCCTGTGCCACAGAACTGACTCGACAGAACTTAACATGACAGGGAAAACGCTTTGTAGGCTTGGCACAGTGGGCAGCAGTCATTAATCAACAAAAGATTTAGAAAGCTAAGGTGAGTGACTAAGACAGATGGGGCCCCCACAATCATGGAGCAGCTGGTTCAGTGCAGGAGACCCAACAGGAAACACAGTGTTGTTGAAGAAGAGAGGTGGGCTTAGAGGCTAGGTGGCCTTGAGAAAGTTATTCCCCTGTTCACTGCCTCAGTTTCCTCATCTGCAAATTAGGGCTTAGAATCTACCTCATGGTATGGAATGGGCATTAAATGAATTAGGACTGGACTAGTACCTACTCATGGTGGCCCCATAGGGTTTTCAAGGCTGTGAATTTTTTTATTTGGAAGCAGATCACAGGCCTTTCCTTGGAGTTACCTCTATGGGGCTTTGAACTGCCAACTTCTATGTTTGTAGTTGAGTACTCTACCCACTTGTGCAAACCATAGCTCTCCAAAATTGTGCCTACAACCCAGTCCTACCGACCTACTGCCATCCAGTCAATTCTGACTCACAGGGACCCTATAGGACAGAGCAGAACGGCTGCTTACAGTTCCTGAGACTGTGACTCTTGATGGGAGCAATGAGTTTGAATCACCAGCCTCGTGGTAGCTTAACTTGCCACACCACCAAGGCCTCTTGACTAGTGCCTGTGGTGGTGGTGGTGTGGGTAAAAGCCGTCGAGTCAGATGGTAAATGCTCTATTCACTATTATTATTATTACAGGTGGGAATGCTGACAAGACCTTATGCTGCAGCAGAGAAATAAAGAGCTGGCTTGGCTTTTTTTTTTCTCAGGGGAGGACCAGTCTTGGCTTGCGGGGCTCACAGCTGAAAGGGGAGACACATACCTCTCCTGTGGGGCAAGGTCACTGGTTCAAGTGATACCAGGGATGTGGGCTGGGGAGGCCACCCAGGCAGAGGTGCATTTCTGGGGCTGGGGAGACAGAGAGGGAGGAGCCTGGTTTCCCTGAGAGGGGAAGAGGGCTGGGAGGGGAGAAAGGAAGACCTAACTGGAGCCCCTGGAGCTTGCACTAACTGCAGAACCCGGCCAGAGAGCAAGCGCCACATGAGCACATTCCTCCACCGCGCGCAGAGCCTTTTCCACGCCTGTTTACTCCTCAAGACAAGTCTTGGAGACGGGTCTCAAGAAACAGAGGCACAGAAAGGTCAAATGATTTCTCTGATGTTGCCGGTCAAGTAAGTGGAAGAACTGAGACTCCAAAACTGACTGGCCTAGCAGCAAATCCCATTTATTTAACAAACACTTACCTATAAGGTGCTCACCACATGGGGCAGACACTTCGCTAGGCACTTTCCTTATATCAACTTATTTAACACCTCTGGAAATGCTGTACAAGTGACTCAAAGGCACTTACCAACAACAACAAATTTAACACCTCTGTGAGATAGGTGGAATCCTGGTGTGGCGTTATAAGATAAGCACTGAACTAAAAGGTTGGTTTAAACTGCAAGGTCAGTGGTTCAAACTCACCAGCCTCTCCTCAAAAACCCTATCTATACAGGGTCGCTATGAATCAGAGCCAACTCGATGGCTTAAGCACTAATCAAAATGAGATTGGTAGAGTTGCTAGCTGGTATACATGGTCAATGAGTTCAGCTGCTGACCGAAAGGTTGGTGGTTTGAGTTCACTGAGAGGCACCTGGAAGAAAACCCTGGCAATCTGCTTCCCAAAAACCAGCCCTTTAACACCCTGTGGAGCACAGGTGCCCGCTCACACTCATGAGGTCACCATGAGTCAGAATCAACTCCATGGCAACCAGTTTTGGTTTATGGGATGGATACTATTCTTAGTTTAACAGATTCATGAGTTTAGGCACAAACAAAACCCCCAGTTGACATCAAGTCAAATCCAACTCAAGGCAAATTGAACTCCATTGGGTTGTATTGGCTGTAATCTACAGAAACACATAACCAGGTAGTTTTTCCACAGCATTGCTGGATGGATTTGAACCACAAACCTTTTGGTTAGCAGTCGAGAGAAAACCACTCATACAACCCAGGGACCCATTTGTTGTTAAGTACTGTGGAGTCGGTTTCGACTCAGCGACCCTGCACAGGGATTCTGAGGCTGTAAATCTTTACGGGAGCAGAAAGCCTCATCTTTGTCCCACGGAACAGCTGGTAGTTTCCAACTGCTGACCTTGAAGTTAGCAGCCCGATTCGTAACCACTACATTACCAGATCCATTGGGGGGAGGGAATGTGTCTTAAAGAGCTGAGGCCCAGAGAGATTAATAAATTGCCCAAGATCACACAGCTAGTTAGTGTCAGAGCTAGATTTGACTCCAGGCAGCCTTAACTCCAGAGAAAACCCCCAATTGCCCATCTATCCCACCCCCCACCCCCACCCAGGGACCTGTTGGAAAAAGACCGCTGCATGGACAGGGAAGGGAACCTGGGGTGCAGACTTGGTTCCCACACCTGGTGGGCTCATTGAGGCTCAGGAGAGGGATGGGTGTTCCTGGACACGGG